ACGCTCCTGCGGGAGGGGGCGTGGGGAGAGGTGAGGCCGGGTGGGGGCTGGTCGGTGTGGGTGAATGGGGAGGGGCGAGGTGGGAGGGGGAGGCTATGAGGTGAGTCGTGGGCGGGTGCAGAGGCGGAGGCTGGTGAATCACAAGGGGCGGTCGGGTGGGGGGGAATGGGTAGGGGAGAGATATGGAGGCACGCTGGGGAGATCTGTGGCGGGGCGGGCTGATGTGATGCGGGCGGGGGGCGTGGTGAGGCGGGACGGGGGAAGAGAAGGGGAGATGCCGAGGCGGGGTGGAGAGTCTGGCGTGTGTGGGTGAGATGTGAATGGCGGTGCTGTGCGGGGGCGGGGGTGGGCGGGGCGAGGAGAGGGGATGACGGTGGGGGTGGACGGGGCGGGGGGGGACGAGGCTTGTGCGGGTCAAGGGCCGGGTCGCCTGGGGGGGGGGTGGCCCCCGCCCTTGCCCCGCCGCGACCCAGACGCCACGTGGCCGGCCGCAAGCAGTCGGAGAGAGGCGTGGCCTTTCCTGCACACAAAGCGCTGTACGTTTCCGTGTCGACGTCATCGGTTTAGTGCTTCCGACGAGCAGCTCCTGCGCATTCTCCTATTAGGGCACACGGTCACGTGCCTCTCCAATGCCCGCTACTTTATAATTTTATGCCGCTCCGGGGAAGATGGTTAACTAACATTCTGTAACGCTGTAGTGTTTTCATTGGGAAAGCGATGTTCATGATTGAGCAAACCCTGGCATGAAAATAAGGGACACAGCCTGACTCTAGACTTGTCCCTCATAATCCCTAAACAAGACATGTTCGTTTTAAGCTGCGGTGTGGGGCGGGGAATATGTAATAAAATGCATTGCCGGGCACAGAAAGTGATGGCCCTTTGCACATGGCTCCTATGAAGTTTGATCTCTTTTAGATAATAACTAGTCAGTGTTTCATGAACGTGTCGTGACAAGATCATTACTAAAATGTATGATGATTAACACAAATCGTTCATGAACTAATGATTTCTTGCTTCATTGTAAAATAGCACTAATATACAAGAAATGAAGAAAGGTAAGTATTGTAACCTTTCTTTACGACTAGCCCCGTACTCCTTTTAAACCACAAGAGTATGGTGCCTTTCACATTTCCCAGAGTCAGTTGATAAGTCACAAACAGTATTTTCAGAGATCAAGTATGTTGTATGATGAAGAATAGAAAAAATACTAAAATGCCTAACGTTTCCTATTTTGTTGAAAAATTGCAGACATTTTCTTACGATTTCTGAATTTTACATAGTAATATTGAAGTAAGGGAAGTTTACAATTGTGAGACTATTACAAGATTGTTCGAAAACTTTTTGACGTACGAAGCAGGAATCTAAATTATATTGGGAATCCTTCACATGATTTATTCCAACCATTTTTTGTCGGGCTTAAAAAAAGTCCGTTCCTAATATTGAGAACGGTCAAGCAAATTTGTTGAATTTGTCACGTGATTAAAGATTTCCATGTTAGGAAAGTTTACATGCGCTAAACTTGTTTTGAAAATGACATTGTGAATTGACATTGAATATGAAATATGACAATGAATATTCATTGTATTAATTAATTAATAATTATAATTACCGTTCCTGTTGTTTTTATTACAGTATAATATGATGAAATTTTCAATTGCAACCACCTAAACATTGTGATAGTTATTAACTCACTTGCAATCTCTGTAACAAGAATAGTACCTTGACGTCATTAGTAGCTACGGGTAGGCCTTGATATAACGGTGCCATCAAGGCAGGCGAGGGACCACCCATGGGGACGCTTAGTAAAGCTATTTTTACCCGGCGCACGTCACGCCATACTTATCTGGAAGCGGGTGGAGGCGGGTTTGCCACGGCGCAGCGCCGAGCCTCGGCACGGTACAGTTTCGCATTCGCCAAATTCGAACCCTCTGCCTCCCCAGCTCTCCCACGCTGAGAGGAAATCTCAGTGAGAATTGGGAACAGCAGAACGCACGTGAAGTGATTTATCGTTGTTCTAGAATAGTTTTACAGTGACGAATTGCGTTTTGGTATGGGTTCGGATGAGGAAAAATTGTTAAAGTTTTCCATTCTGTCGGTTAAAATGAAATAGTGTGTCACTTCATATGTTCATTAGACCATGTTTGTGGAAAAGATAATCTCAGCTGCATAAGCCTTAGTGACACAAGATAATTAAATCTTGTTGACGTTTACGTAGAGTTACCAACCTTCAGTTTGGACAGGATTTGCCCTAATTTTCAATGTCTTTATTTTTTGTACGACCAGCATCTCATCTGCTTCAAAATTTGACAGCATTTTCTGAATTCTCAGTACATTTAGTTTTCCAATTGCTGGTGTGTAAATGTACAAACATTAAAATGTCATCTATAAACTCAATTAGGCATCGCCGAATTTGAAATAAACATTACTTCATTGAAGGGTGATATAATTTTCAGTAGGCAATATCCTATAATTTTTAGTCTATAAAATAACCCTTTTTAAACAATGTTAAAGTTACATGTTTGGATAAAAGTAAGTAATTTAAAATATTTCAACTGTCAATCGCCTAAAACGCGATTTAATTAATATCATTCGATTTTCTTTTACGAAATGACCTGCATTTCCAAACTTTTCAATTAGTAACGCTACGCACGCGGTTTTCTGATCACACATTTACTATCACGGCCTTTATGCAACATATGAAGTATATTATGCAAAAAATTTGTCTTTGCATACCTCTCCAACCTTCTTTCCACTCCTGTCTTTCGCTTTCTCTCCATTTTGCCAAGCTGTAGCTCAGCTGCGCACCGTCGTTCCCCCACCGCCTCCCCTCTTCCAGTGATTTGCGTCGCTTACGACGCAAAAGGGCTCTGACGCCTCGATCGCGCACTTTTCATCCTCCGTCGCAGCACGAGACAACTTCAACTCGCGTACAGCCTTACGTCGCATGTCTCCTGATGTTCTGATGTTTGTGGCTTAGAAACAAATAGCACCTGGAGTTTATAAAACGCAGGGAGAAATGTTGCAACCGACAATTTAAATGTGTGGACGAGAATTTTGAAGATCTCTATCAAATTAATCATGAATGACAGCTAGTTGCTAATAGTTTATAAATGAAAGAACGAGACTTAAATAATTAAAGAAGGTTTTACTTTTTCTATTTCACAATTCTGAGTTTATTTGGCTATTTATCGACATTTCTTAAATGAAATCTCAATTCCTTGAGTCTACATTCGAATTTACTCTACTTTCCGCAATTTTCAGTTTTTAACTTCATATAATAGGAAACGTTTCTAGTAAAAATGAATTTTTAAAGTCAAAATAGAAATAATACTTTTTTTGGAATTAGTTAGGACATCATGTAATAATTTCAAATGATTTGAAACTAGTCAATTTCATTTCGTAAGAATTGCAAAGTCCAGTGGACATAAAACTTGTTTAAGGCATTCGAAGTAAACGTTTTGTCAAATATTGTAGGCATATTGATCATGAAAATGTTTATTAACAAAATATTATGGGGTTGATAGTACCTGTTTTTATTTACATAATTTGATCTAACTGTTGTTGAGCGTGCGATACGTGTAGAATAGTGAATGAGGAGCCCCATTATTTACATTGTACTCCTACATAAAAAATAATGTTATAAAATTTTGTAATTAAATTGGAATCTAATTACCAGCACTAATTCACTTATTTACAGTCTTTTTCGTCGAACCCACTGCGTTAAAAGTAGGATATGCAGGGCATTGACGGTAGTAAACTTTCTCGTGCTTATGAGTTAGAAAAGTGCATGATCATATACGCTGGGGCCACACTGATTGTCACAACATGCATGCCAATAACTACGTTTGTTTGGCTTTAGGGCGAACATACTCGAAACAATAATTACACCACAGTTATGTACAAACACATACAATAGTTTTATCTCAACTATGACATATAGAAAATAATGAAATATGACAGACTCTGGACACGTTTTTCATAGAATCGACTGACACTCCGTGATTTGAGAGGGATTTTATGTAGTTAATGGAATGGTGTATGAAAGTATTTGTATTGATGAAAAGTACCTGAATAGATGCATTTCAATATTGTTATTATCTTTTTTCTGTTTCCAGATATGGCCTTCAGTTATTTCTTGTTGTAAATTTGTGTAAAAAGGCAGAATGAATTACGTTCAAAATATTCTTAAAATTTGTATTAACTTCATATATTTATAACTAGTCTATTTTCAACACGAAGCGTATATTGTGGTGCTTTAACGTACTTAACAATGACGATAATGGTTTTATACATTATACACTTACCGTCCATTCCTATTTATAATGGACGTAAGCGTTACATTTAGGTCGCTAAAGACGACATTTTGGCTTTGCCTAGACAGGCAATACCTATAACTATCTATATTTCGACATTTCTAGCCACTAAGTACACTAAACACAGTTGTTACATTTGTAGCCTAAATATGAACATAGGGCTTGAGTATGAATGAACATTAAAATTCAGTATCTGAATGGCAACGCTATAATATAATAATAATGTATTAAAGATACTTTTGTAATCTGCGCTTCAACAAGCTTCAAATGAAGTGAATACTGTAGTCGTGTGTATAATGCGTCACTCACATCAGTATACTTTTGTAAAGAGAGAATCCAGACACACAGCCTGTTGGGGTCGACAAAAGCACGAAGAAGGACGCAACAGCAAACGCGCTGCCTGAATGTCTTGGTGTTTCTGTTCTATAAAGCTGAACCAATTTACAAAGTTCACTTACCGCTCTAGGCTCTAACTCGGAACGCAAGAGGAGATGAAGCGCAGGGTTCGCAGGTGCGCACCCGAAGGGGGCGGGGGATTTGGAAGGGGGGGGGTCGTCACACTAGCCACTCGGAGTTGGCCCAGCCGCGAGCGCGCGCTTGGGACGACAGGGCGCGCCCCGCCCCCGCCGCCGCCTCCGCCACCGCCACCGCCGCCGTCGCCGCGTCGCCGCCGCCGCCGCCGCCAAGTCAGACGTGCGCGCCGGGGACGCAGGTGGAGTTGGCGTTGAGGCTGCGCTCCTCCGACGTGTCTTCGGGCTTCATCACCTTGGACAGCCGCTGCAACCGGACACGACACGCAACGTCAACGTCATTGCAGCGGACGTGGGGAGATGCACAATTGTATGATGCATTATTCAGTGTTCCCGCGTGCGTCAACTCTTGTTTATCACACTCAACTACGCTTATGAACTATGCTGTTAATTAAACATAGTGGCACTTCAAGGTCATGAGATGGATCGAGAGAGGCAGCTTCGTTACGACATAAATTTTTGTTATCGGTGCTCCGGATTAGATGACAATGTCCCTCTTTCCATCCAGCTCGTGACTTGGAGGGCCGCTATGTTTAAATAACAGTATAGTTCATTAGGGTAGTCCATACTACATTCCGGCTAGTGACGGAGTTTCTCACTTGCTGGACCGTGAGGTTTGGCGCCGATCTACAAATCAGCTTGTGGAGTTTTCCCCAACCAGTTATGTTCCCCCATTAGGACACCGGTCAAGAGAGAACAATCTCTAACTTCTCGATTGATCTCCAAACATGTTGTAGTGTACATGTAAGCTCGCGCGCTTGTGTGTGTATGAGAAAAGAACGCTACAAGCATTAGAAGGGAAGGTCCGTTGGTTAAGGTACTGCTCCGGTATTCGCCTGGAATTAGTCATAAATCCATGGAGATATACCGATCAGAGCAGCCGACCTCGAAAATTCTCCCCCATATAGCGGCTGAATCCGACCTAGAGTCGATAGAAGCGCTATTCTATCGACTATTTTCGACTCTAGCTAGAGTCGAAAATCCTCCACCGTCCAGACTCAAACCGTGGGATCTCTCGGTCAGAAACACTGCAATGAAACAGTTGTTGAGCTATATCAGTCTACGGAAACCGCACGTTTAAATCAAGAGTTTTTACGACAGCTGGGGGAAATGTCAATGTAGCACAGTATGGACATTTTTAGGGTCCTGAGGGGCGCAAGCATTTCTCTCGATGGTCGACCCTTCTCCTGAGGCTCCGGTGAAATGCGCCATGCTTTATTTCTGGCTGCACCCGCGCATTAAGTCCGACAGCCGTGGTACTACGCGCAACTTCCCCTGACTCCGCTCCCACATTCCCCGAAGACAGAAAGAGTTGAACTTGCCCAAGCTGAAGCGACAAACAGGGGGACTATACGAAAATATGTCCTCCACATTTGTTCCACCAGGCAACCAACATTTGTACAATGTTTCTATACTTAATACATATTTAATAATACATGTTTCATACTTCTTTTTAAAATCAGCCTTGATTATGCATTTTTGTCAAGGGGCAAGAATAGTTTTGAAAGATTTCTTGTTTCATTATGTTATGTTCAATCGTTCAGTTATTTATTATGTAATGCAATAAAGAAAATAATGAACCAGTTTCTATTGCGCGCGGATAACTATTTCAATATACAAGAATTTTAGTATTTTAACATCGTGTTTCGTACAGTAAGTTTTCTACGACTTATGGCAACGTTTAAAAGTTCAACATTTGCTTTGAATTGTTTCGTGGCAATTAACATTCAGGATTCAGACAAGACCACCTAGAGCACAGCTCTCTACCTACCCGGCGGCTGATTTCTTTGCCACTGCGCTAGTCAAATAGGATCAAAGTCAAATGACGATCCAATTTATTTTAAATAGTATTTCACGTAAAAATAGAAGTAATAAAATAAATTAAAACTATCAATCATAGTATACTATTAAATTCCATTTTAATGTACACAATCGTTCGAAGAAACGCTTACTAGAAATATTCTCAATGATGAATTAAGTGTCAATTTTTGATTTGTAAACTTCTCTGTGATTTGTCAAGAACCTGCATCATAATGAAATCCGTATCGAAATGAGTATCATTATTCACCGGTTCGCAGCCATCAAATGACAGCATTATAAAATGAGACTAGGAAAATAAAGTATTATGTTATATTGATTTCAATTGTTCTTTTTGTTAAACACGAAGGTTTCTTCCTAAGTCTCAGAATTCCTCCACTCGCTCAACAAAACGCTTACCAATTGTAAATTACTGTCCATCATTTACCTGTTGGATAAGTGGTATTAAAGTTTTGCACAGCGTGAAGCACTTTAATGTGTACGCTATTAACCCATTTTAGAGTCTCTGTGAATGCGCGAGCTCCAATGCTACGCTAAAGTGATAGCGGAAAACGCTATTCCATCAGAATTAGCTAGTATAATCACTTGAGTAATGACGCACACTAAACTAGTCACGTGATCACGCTAGTGCAATTTGTTCACCGCGGTGCTTGCAGACAGTTGTGTTAACTGTTCCATCATATTGGTGGCATTAATTATATATAATCTGTGTGTGTGTATATCAGTTGTCAAACAAATGCTAATCAAGATAATATGTAACATAATAGGAATTTAGCGCACACTCTGTCGCTGCAGTTCGGTGGTACTATTGGTTCATTTAGAACAAAACGTGAAAAAAAAACGCGTTTTACACTTTACACACCACTAGTCACCCGGTTGCCTAAACGCAATTCTCTAGGCTTCCAAAAGCACTCTAATTCGATCGCTCTCCCTAGAAATACCGGATCTCGCTTTGTGTGTACTATCGGCACGAAGCAGCTCAAGGATTCCGTGGATTGATTGGTTAGTGCAGGGATGTCCATCTTGCCAGGCTCCGAGGTCCACTACTAGAACCTTTCATATGGTTGCGGGACCAATGTATGTACGTTATTTGAGCGACCTGCACCTGTCTCCCCCGTATCGTCGCTTTCGGCAGTTTGCGCGGCTGCTCAGAAGCGGGGAAGGGGAATGGGAAGGTACCGTGCGTGATATCAGACTGTGTCATTAAAGAAACGAATTGGGATGATTTTAAATTTCTGAATTTAGTAAAAAAAATATTCTAAAAATTCAAACTATCCCTATTTTTGCATGAAGCGGGTGTTGACCCTGACAGGGCATATAAGCTAGGCGTAATATTCTCGCCCGACATGCATGCAAGGGTTTTCACATTTGACAAATACCGTTTTTTCCCAATCGGATATCTCCCACCAGCTCGCCGCAACCGGGACAAACTTTGAAGCTTCCGACTGATCTCTTGACTTGTTTGGTAATGTTGTGCATAAAAATGTGTGTGTAAGGAATGAGGATAGGACAAGGAAGTGGAAAGAATGATCGGTGACGATTCATGTCATGTTTGTTAGGGTATTGTCCCAGCATTCGCCTGGTGTTGATTGGAAAAATCACGGAAAACTACCGTTCAGAGCAGCCAGATCCTACAATCTTCCTCCAAACTGCGTCTGACCTCGACATAACTAGCGACAATAATTCTGCTACAGTCAAAGATGGAACCCTAAGGACTCTCTGGTGAGAGGCACGACAGTGATGTCAGTTAATGACCTTAGCCATCTAAGACGGTTCCGAAGGTTGAGTATGTGGAGTTAAAATATGAACAAGTTGACATCTGCCTCGCGATGAATGTGCTCATGGCCATGCATAATGTGATAAGTTCTTTGGTTTTCCTATCATGATAACTTGAATTTGCATGATCTCAGATTTTTCTTATCACTTTTTCGGATATGTGGTAAAAATGTCATATTAAACCACGAAAGTAATTTGAAATATGGCATATTGCATTTGAGATAGAATACAAATTATTTACCAATGCGTAAACATGTAATTTTGTTTTAATTTAAATTTGTAAAATTGAGTTAGTTTATATTAGTTAATGCTTAATCGAGGGCAGTGACGATGTTTCTCCCCTACTGGATGGTGAAATATACTTGTAAGTTTGCGAGGATTTATTCCTCCAGGCCCAGCCGGCAAAAAATCTAAGCTCCCAGCTTTGTCATATATTGATTACCACTTTTATCTGAATGTTCTATTAATAATGCTCCCAGTATCCGTTTTCAGTTTTCTTTATGATCGGCTTAATCAGTAAACTGCTATAAATTCTGCAACACCATTCTCTCGATAAGAAACATTATCTGTTTAACTGACGTCAGATGATAAAACTCCTTGTATCAGACTCGTACATTATGAGATCAATACTCAAAACTTAATAATGAGAAAGCACGCATTTTTGTGAAATGTATCTAGAGCAATGATGTTATATTCATTTTTTTCAATTCATTTAATTAAGATGAAGTTAATATTGAATTTGTTTGATTTTTTTACGTCACAATTGACTTCACCAATTTTTTTTGTGGACGCCTACATTTTTGCTACAGATATTCGTGATGCCTAAAGATTTTTTGTGATTTATTATTATTATTATTGTTATTATTTTTTATTATTATTAATTGTGACAGCCTAAAAAAGCATTTGGTTATTCACACAGAGGTGAATGATTGCGGATGTTATGTAACGATTCTTCTAGGGTATATACCATAGTCAACTCGTATTATAAAAATGTTATGAAAGTCATGGTTATGTATAACTCCGCTTTACTAAATATTAATTTTATATGACTTTTTTGCAGGTATTCTTTATATATCGTTTCTCGTTAACCCTTACGATTCGACATTTTTTAAGATAGAAAGTAGATGCTTATTAGTAGAAAGTAGATGCTGCTAGTTATCCTTTTTCTTCGAGCTGGAGGTATCAACTTCAATATAGTCGAAAATCGCAATTTTTAAGGGGCGACATTTGATTAATAGGAAATACTGTTTCGAAAAAAAAATAATTTCAATAATTGTGTTTGAATATCCTTACAATGTATTCTGTACGTTATATCTTATAAGTACTAATTGTTCATTAATTAGGGTAAATTTATCGCCTAAGTGGAGCCCCAATTGGAGAATTATCATTTAGTTCAAACTAACAAATCGTGCAGCTTACGCCATTTAGCGGTGAGGTGTAAGAAAGAAATAGTTTCCCTTCTTTTACGTGTAAAGAATAAGCTGATACTACAATATTAATGACATTGACTAACGTACATAAATTGGTACTTTTTGTGAACTTACATTGTCTCAAACACATTCTGAGGATTGAATATCGCGTCATTAGTGAATGGGTATCTGACAACATCCATCATTTTACAATTTTCAAGTGGCCTGTGAGATTTTCAAGTGGAACTACGTAGGCGTTCCAAATAAAGAAAATTGAACTCATTTTAAATTCTCCATTTGTAGACAAGAGAACAAGAAAAACTGTGTTGTAGAGGCGAATTCAGTACGACGGCGCAATAATTTCAAGAAAACTGCAAATATATTTTTAGCTATAAACACTTGTATTGCTTTTACCCTCAAATACCAAGGATACATTTACTCTTCGATACATGTTTGGACATCCCAATGTACGTGAAGAATACGCGAAAAATGCCCCATAATGTCAAAAACCTGAAATTCTGTTTTTTAATCCACGTGCAATACTCAATGTGTAGCTGTAGTTTGAATAAAAATGTTGAATTTATAAACTACGTATTTATCTTAAAAAGTAGTGAAAAAGCAGTATGAAGCAGTGAGAATTATTGTTAGTGACATCTACCAATAAATCATATTTCATTCACAAAAATCGTCAATGAAATCATTTGAAACATGAAACACCAAATAAGTGTATTCTAAAAGGGAGTTAAAAGGCGGTTCAAAGAAAAAATTTAAAAAATCCTCTTTGTTTTTCCATTTTGACAATGAAGCGCATTGAACTCGGGATGAGAAGGGCGCGTGCAATCGAACATGAGCGCAAACGATAAAAACGCTATCAACTCGAACGTGCTGTCGCTTTCGCCACGAGCTGTTCACATTAACGAGTTCAATTGTCGCAGCGAATACGCTAATCTCTGCGTTACGAGGCAGTTGAGGGTATCAATCTGGCTTTGCATCAAATGTGCTTTCATCGAGTTTAACAGATTCTGGCATCTACTATAATTATTTTATTCCTGATAAAAATAACCGTGTAAAAGATCATTGGAAAATTGTTAATGTAAAATTTTTTAAGACGAGTAGAAATATTTGTTGAGAATATTATTGCATTTATAATAATATTATAAAGTTTGATGTATACAATTTTTGTCAAAATATGTCGAAGATATAGTTGATGTATATTCTATCGAATCAGATTGTAGATTCATAGCGTACTACTAATTAATTTATGTCCAATTTCTCACACCATAATTGTTATAAACGTTGCAAGATCACGGAGTAAATTATTATAGTATTAGAACAGAATTTGTAAAGTAGTATTATCGCCTTCATTCGCAGATAGTGTTTCAATTTATTTTACGTTCTTTATTACCTGAAAATTTAGAACACAACACGATCTTAACGATTAACAAACACATTAGAGAACACCGTGATTTTGCCGAGGAACGTAAACGAGAGGGCCAGGGTGAGGAAGGCCAGGTGGTGAGAATTCAAGCAGAGAATCATATTTGGATGTTTCCTTTGCGTCACAAATCCAAATAAAATCTTCCTGTGTGGTCTGTGTAGGGTAAATGAAAATATAATTCACTCCTAGTGTACCTAATTGTGTAAAAATTAATGGCCCCAACCAACTCCAGAGCAAATAACGCTTCTGAAGCACTAGCTTGCGGGGGGGGGGGATACCTTGAGGAAGGGCCCTGGCGTGATGGCGATTTTGTAGACGGCGTACACCGGGATGCAGAGCAGCGAGGAGGCCGTGAGCGCCCAGCCCACGGAGATGCTCCATTGCGGGTATAGGCTGCGGTCCGTCAGCATCTCCTCGTAGCCCAGCAGCGAAAAGATGAAGATGACCTGCGGAGCACACCGCGCAGTCACATAGCGAAGGAGTGAAGGGCCAGTCGACAAATATCGGTGGCGGTATGCATTCGGGGAACATTTTACCGTCGCTCGAAATAAATATTCCCACTACCTAACTGCTCAACCTGTAATGTCATAAACCACTGATAAAAAGCAAACAAATAAAGAGATTCTAGAAGAAAAGTATTAGTTTTTGCTAATACGCATGTGATAAACCTCGTGTATTTACATTATTATCATTACATTTGCCTCTAATTGGTGGGCATTGTTCCTCATCTTTTCAATTGCCTACCAAACAAGGGACATTTCTCATGACTGTGTAACGTTGTTCTATAAGATTTACGTCACATTTTTATTGGTCAAAGATAGTTATTTGCGAATCTTCTGTCCCCTAGAAGTTTGTAGCATCTGTTCTGAAACAATCTGTATAAAGCGTCACGCTGAAAGAGTATCAACTGCTTCTTACTTCTAAGGTTCGATGCAGGATTAACATTTGCATGAACGCCAATGATCCTCCTTCGAGGGAGAGGGAACGGTAACGAAGTTCATTACAACTTAATGAATATTAAAACTTTTAAATGCGAGATGATTTTCCGAAGTGGATCAAGGTTTTAATATTTCGAATTTGAATTGTTGTGCTGTTTTCAAATACTTAAACAATATGGGAAATATAGTAGTACATGTTCTTGTTCAGCAGAAATACAATTATCGATTTATACAAAGTCGATAAGAATTTGGATATGTAAGAAATTCAGATAATTAGATAAATCTCTGAAATTAAGAACATTGAAAGAAAATCCATTAAAAAGTTATGAATTTACTTTTAACCATCATAAAATTTAGAACACAGTAATATATTCGATCATTTACAACAAATTTAAATTACTACCGCACATAAGGGTTGCTTTCGGAAAAACCACCATTCAGTACTTCCGTTATTTTAATCATAGTCCTTTTGGAAATTATTTTTGTTTCAAGATTGATTAGGATAATTACAGTTATATTGAACGGGATGTCTCAAAATAAATGTTACAAATTTGAGGGAGTATAGGGGTTTGAAGATCATGCTATTTGCTTATGAAGATGTGGTAGGAATTTACATATAACTTTGTTACCCATTTGACATTTACCCCTGTTTGCTAGGCCGCTCATAGTACATTGTAGTTTGTCAACATAAACAATTTTGATTGCATCTGAACATGATGGGCCCAATATCGGTGCTTATGTTTGCTACTAATCAGGAAACAATGTCAATTGTTTTATGAATTTTTCCACTTATTCACTTTCGATATGTGAATATCTTTGACCTCCCTATATATCCTAGAAGTTGGTAACAATTGTTCTGCGACGTTCTGTATAATAAATTGTTATAAACCAAATAATACTGTAAAAGGGGGGGGTATTTCCAGTTCCCGTAGGCGTACCCATTCATGCAAAACGCAGTAAAACACATTGGGATGATTTTGAATTTACTAGAAAAAATCCTTGAATGTAAACAACCTATGTTTGCACAAAGGGGCGTTGATGCCGGCAGAGCGCGTGCTCTAGGTGCTCCATGTTCTCGCCCGACATCGTTGCAGGGGACTTTCACTTTTGACTAATAATCATTCACGGGCCGCAATGAATGCCCCTGCATGCCGCATGCGGTCCGCGGGCCGACAGTTGGACAACCCTGGTGCAACGAATTGCTACAAACCAAATAAAACGTCAACTTACTCTACTTATTGCGCTAATTACTTGAAATTTACCACCTATTCAAATGTCAATATCTTCGACCCCCTACATGCTTTAGAAGTTTGCAACATTTGTTCCGCGACGTCCTGTATAACGAACTTTTACAAGCCAAATTAAACTCCACCGCTGAGGCGTTACTTACGAGCAGAAACACGGGGCTGATGAACATCCAGCACACGCGCCAGAAGATGCCGGGTCGGAAGCCCAACATCTTCTCGATGTCGTGCGAGAAGCGGTCGACGCCGTAGAACCAGCACACCCCCGCGGCCTCCACGAACACCACGAACAGGATGGAGATGCTGGGCCCGTACGTGTTGAGCAGATTCACTAGGTACACGCCTCCCTGTGCACAAAGAAGCGGCCTCGCGTTGGACTAGTGTTTTCCAAAGGGGTCGATATCGACCCCAATGGGATTTTAAATACAGTCGATGATGATAAAGAAGTCGGTCGGGGTCATTAGCCGAATATTCACGATGCTTGTTACATTATTTTACATAATTAACTTTTCCCCCTCATAATTTGTCGAAGGGAAATAGATCAACTAGTATTCTGTTGCAGCCAAAATGCTGCTGAGCAAAATTTCAGTTTTTCCAAAAAGTAGTATGTAATCTGAGAAAGAATTTGATATATAAAAACCAATGTTTTCTTGTTTGTACATATTTTATGCGCTGCCGTTCCGTTCATCCAATTGCGATAAACCTTTGTCAACTTATTGCTTGCACATCCTCGAAAAATATAGGCATAGTACAATGAGAATGTGCGTATGTCTGTTGCACATAGTAGACCGTTGATGATTTTATGCGTTTACGTTCTCTAAAGCGCCTCTAAACGGAAACTCTACGCCGCATCTTGAAGTATTAAGCGTGTCTTTGCTGCATTTTCTGCCCCTGCGATTGTGAAATATTGACAGTTATTATTACTTGAAGATTATCTCAGACAAGTCAAACAAATTTCTCCAAGAATGCCATAGCGAATAAATGCCTAAACGTGAGGGAGAACGTTTTAATTAAAGGATACTAGGACAACTATGTCCAAAACAGGACATACAACAAACCTACACCAAAGTCTATTAAATTTTTGCCGAGCGCAGTGTAAAACGTTATTTCACAATCACCTGACCAGTATTGTGTGAAGTGAAATACATTGCAATAGCTAAGCATTGCCGGGTACACTAGGAAGAAATAAACAGTAATCCGGGATAAAAACATTCATTATAGGAACAAGACTTGGGGTGAGGATTTTTTTGCCATAAAAATCTTTGAATATGATTTTAAAAATATGCATTTATGACCTAACGATTCTGAAATATGCACTTTAATATTCAAATAAGATGAACTATTTCATTTTCTCAGTAAACCTTTTTTGATAAAACTCAGTTGAAGTGTGCTTGTAATGAAAAAAAATATGTGTGCGAACATAATAGAACCCACCCTACTTCGCGAGAGAAATAATTGAAGTATATATTCATCTTAGTAAAGTACATTGTACATTTTGTTCAAAGGCATAAATAAAAATAATCGACAAACAAATAAGAATGGCACAGACCAACAGTTCCACGAGGAACGGTTGCTGGAGGTGAATGCGGTACTGCGGGCGGTAGCGATGCCGAACGTATTTTCTTCAGCCAGTTTGTGAAGAATCATTGGAAGAGATACAAATACAACAGTTTATTGAGTTATTTATCTCTTATCATCAGTTTTATTATTATAACTTAAATCTTGTTTTATCATTGGTAAGAACTTGGAATACTCTTCCATTTCATATACTAATTTGATCATAATTAAATGCACTAATCCTTTCACAGAATGATTCAAGATGTGTTCATCACTTGTACTGCTTTTCCTCTTACATTGCACGGTGCAACGTAGTCTATTAGCAATAAAAAATACAAAACCCTAATATCATAAATGGATAGTCAAGCGAATAAGCTAAAATGGGTTGCACATTTCAATGTATCTCCCTTTTTGTTCACAATTGTTTTAGATCTTTAGAGACAGCTGCTACTCTACCCTAACTTGTCAGTTTAAGTTAGATCTTAGGGTGACAAAATATTGTGATAAGTGTATTCTGATGAGATTTTGTGAGTTATTTGTTCGGAAGTACGTTTCAAAGCGTTTACTCACAGGATAAATGAACACTGATGTTTTTAAACCTATTTGGGCATTCGATAAAAATAGCAACATTAAAATAAATTCGTTTGTGTGTTTATGAATAAGGCTAGGGAGATAAAATTTATTCTTTTATACATTATTAATATCTCTGATTGTGTCCTTTCAATAGGACTCGTCAGTATTTTATACAACAGAAACAATTGTATCGGGGTTAATTTAAACTGCCAGTACATGTGTACTCATGGCTTTGTTCATGCGATCATGCAATGCAGGCTACTCACTTCATTTATTTCTATTGATTTTGTAATTTTCAGAATAAAAATGATCAGTTTTTTTCGTTACTATGATATGTAGAAAAATTGTAAGTGATGTTGCGTTTCATTGCATTAAGTGCTGATCCAATCAAATTTGAACAATTAGAATTTCGACGTCCTTTTCCTCGCGTTCGCTATTTGTAGAAAACTCTTTAATTCTCCCAAACTAACCCCAACTCAATTTCACGTCAACTTTTCCTACGCTCACCTTCGAATACAGGTCCACTGCCGACGTTCGTTTCCGAAGCCTCTGTTCCCTCTCTCTCCTCCATTTCGTGGCGGCCGCTTGGAGGCGCCGTTTCGGCGTGCCCTCCCTCCCATCCGCCGTCACCCACTCCTGTCGTCGCCCCCTCTCTTCCACCTCTGCAACTTCTGCTCCTCCTCCACCACCACCCGCCGGCCACTTGACCTGACCCCTTGGCCGTGCTCTCCGCCGTCGCCGCTCGCAGTCCGCATCTGCCGATGTTTCCCTTCCTTACACCTCCGTCGCCAGTCGGCCTCTTGACCAGACACCGCTGCATCGTAACCACCCCCATTTACACTCCCAGCATTTTCACTCAGTTTTATCTTCACGCCTTCTCCTTCTGCATCACACCTTCATTCAGGAGCCGCCTCGCCGCGCCTTTTCCACGCACTCGTCACCCATTTTCCTCGGTCGCGTATTTGCTTCATCGTTATATGCACACCTTCCGCATTCCCAGACGGTCATTTGACCAGATGCCGCTACACCGTGCCGTTCCCAGCATCGTCTCTCATATTCTCAAGTCGTCATTTCCTCACTTCCAACTGCAAGCCTTCCCGATCAACCACTGACAAATAGATCAGACCCAGCTTTGCCATACTATACAACATCGCCTTCGGCCCTCATATTCCTCATGAGCATTCCTCTTCTACCTTGACCATTCCATTACCTATCACTCATTGGACTAGACGCTACTGTACCTGCCCACCCCCATATTCGTTTTCACTCTGTTCATTGTTTTCCATTTTCTCAAGACTTCGTCCCCTCGCTTCATCCTCCATCAACCGCCGACATCTGTATCCATTCTCCTCAGCCGCTGTACCGTCTCTCTCTCCCTCTCCTCCTCCGTCACCAGTCGGCCGTTTGAGCGGCCGGCGCCAGGCGGAGCCCGCCACCTCCATCGCACCGTCGCCGGCTCTCTTCGCGGCTGCTGTAGCGGTCGGCGACTTCTCAGCTT